CTGCCACCACCAAGATTTCAGCCTTTATTGCTTTGTGCAGCCCACCCATTTTTGGTTCAAGGGTGGCCTGGATAGAGAGATCTCAGCTAAGATACTCACAGGTAATGACACTGATTACCTGGCAGGATGTGTAAGATAAGCTTCTCTGTTCTCTTCTGTGCCACCCTGGGAGACTCTGATACCTCGTCCCTTCAATTATCAGGTAGGAGTTCATTCACTGAGGGATACGAGTCATTATGCTCATGTGTCTTGTGGGGTTGATCTTTAGCCTCATACTTTTACTCCTCAAAATTCAAAAGAATCATCTGATATACAAAAATATCTGTTTTGAAACTTAAAAGCTCTTGATCACTATTTGTGCATGATCCTGAAATAAACTACTACTTGAAAGTGTGTGTGTGCATGTATGTGCATGTTTGTGTGTAAACAAGCTCTGTAACTTTGAAGGCCAGATACCCAATACCAAAGCACAAAAGAGAGAGAGCATCCTAGAGCATAGCAGGAATCTGACCACATGCCCAAAAAGCTCACAGGACATCAAGTTTAACATGTTCTACTACCCTTCACTTGGGACTCAGTATCTTCTTTCAAGTGGTGAGGCATGGAGATATGTAGATAGAGCTTCTTTCTTACATGTAATTTCTGTTTGTTTGCTTCCAGGATTGGCCAGATTTCTAGAAAATAAATAGCCTGAAAAAGCAGGGAAGCATCCCTTGAGACCAGAAGGAAGGGAAGAGATGCAGAGATTACAGTGTACGGGCCAGGCAAGCCTAATAGCAGCCCTGTGCTGGTCTCATCTTCCCCAGATGGCACTTCATCTCTACAAAGACATTGGACAGGGTTTTCTATTTCCCTGCATTGGGAAGGAAGAAAAAGTTATAGATTTCTTTGCCTCAAAGCAATCTTCTAGAGAAAGCAATTGTTCCCTCCACATCAGTATTTTATCAGAATCAAGACTTAATGGTAAAATAAAAGGAAATGAATCCTGTTCTCCAGATTGCCCAGTGTACACGAACTCCCAGCCTTTCTTCTTCCCCTAATGACACTTCACTGGATCTTAAAATGTGGTTTTTCTAAGAAGGAACTTTATATTTTCACAATGCTTTTTCAAAAGCAGGATTCTTCTAGTGCCAATGTTCTTCCTACATGAAAATGATGCTGTTAATTCTTGCATTATGTATATCATCTTAAGTGGATTTTTTTTCTGTGTCTAGAGAATTTCTACTGACCTAGCTACCCCTCCTCCCTCCCCACAAGGCAGAAAGTTCAGGATGGCAGGCTGGGAGCTATTGCCACAGTCCCACAGAGAACTAAACTCAGAACCGTGTTAAGAAATGCAAAGACAACCACCCCCATCCAGCTTTGAGACTGCAAGGGACATTTTGTTTCTTAGTCGGCTACAGGTCTTTAAAGCACTGCCTTTGTTTCCACTGGAAAAAAAGTAGTTCATCAAAAAGTTAACACAATTTTGAGATTCAAAATTGTATACAAATAGATTTTGTATTTGTTGCCATGATATAGTATTAAAACGACAAGTGGAAACTGTAAGATAAATTCCAGCCGAGATAAGCAGGCGAAGAGAGGCAACAAAGGGCCAGGGAATTTATTTGAATGCCCCCGGGCGAGGTTCTGTGGCCTTCCTGTCACAGGCCAGGGAAACCACGCGAAAGTAGACAGGCAGCGAGTTTTTAAAGAAGGTGGGGGGAAGCAGAGCTTAGATTTACAGCGGTGCGAGGATTGGCTGGCCTAAGGCACATTTTTCAGGTTGGGAGGGGGCAGCAGCTGGGAACTTTTCATCACTGTCTGATGTGCTCACCCCTCTCCCCAGTGCCTTCAACCTTACAGAAACTATCTCCTTTTAATTTTACTTGAAATTTTCATGTTCCCATTAAAATTGTTTCCTTCATTTTGAAAAAAATAGAAACTTAGAAGCACTATGCTTCTGAAGAAGTTAAAAATCTTATTAGAATACCATGTTTTTATATCATTTCCACCATCCCAAACCAGTGAAGGGATGAGAAAAGGAGTGATTACAATGCAACACAACTGAGATGTGGGGGGAAAAGATTTGTGTTCAGAAATCAATGTGTTCATATAGATACCTGGGGATTTTGACTCAAACACGGAGGAAAGCCAGCCTATTCCAACTCTGACATTTGAAGACTCTCTGCAGACTATTAAACAAAACCAAACATGCTAATTTAGACATACTTCCTAACTATTGCCTTTTATAAGTAACTCGAAAATCTGCTCTAGCTTACATATCCTTTCAAAAACTTGTTCTAAATTTATTTGTACTGTGTCAGTTATGTGAACAAAATAAGAGCTGAGAAACTCTCCCTAAGAAAATGTTTTTTTGCTAGAAACCCTTTCCTGCTACCTTCTGAGCTTCTTGAAAGTGAAAATCTCTGTGTCTTCCAGATGACAGCCACTTTTTTGGTGGAACCAAAATAGCTCTCTCAGCAAGAGAGCTGTCTGTCAGCAAGAGTCCTGACAGAGATCCGATTTGGCATGCAGGAGGAAGGTGAGAAATGGCCCCACCGTAGGAGGTTTGGTGGGAGCCCCCCATTAGCTAAGGAGCAAGGCAGGAGGGGTACTTAGAAAGCAGTGCACTCTGAAACACCGGACCAAGCCTGAGGAAACCAATGGGCATTTCTAGAAATGACAGATAACACTGGGGAAGGAGGGAGCCATTTGCTCTTTGAGATTTTGAAAGGGTTATGTTACATGCATGGAACCAGAAGATTTCCATTTGTGAAAGTAATCAAATATACTTACATGCATGGGATTTTCTCTCCCCCTAGTGGAGGGGTAGGAGCCTTTGGAGTGATATGCTATCACTGCGTAACAGTGCTTCATCAACCAAGATCAATCTCCATTGCAGCACATTTTGCCCATAAAATTAGTCTTTTCACTACTTGTGCTGCTCTCTCCTACACGGTCGTTTTCAAAACACCCCCAACCCATCACATTAGGGAGTGAACCGCCTCCTCAGTATGCTGATACTTAGCAAGGATCTCCTTCTGCTCTTGGCTAAAGGCTGCTCACACTCACTTCTGAGATACAGAATTCCCTTCTCCACTGCAGTCCTATCAAAGATGCAAGTGTGGTGTGATCAGAGGCAACTTTCCTGACTTCCAGTGTAGGCCAGAACAACCTGAGCAACTAAATGAGAAAGAGAAAGCAAGCTTACCTAGAGTAAAGGTGGGGAATATGGAAATTCACAGGAAAGATATTAATAAAGGTACTACTAAACAGTGATCTGAACCTGATATATCAAGGTCAATAACTAGAGATAAATTCTGGAACAAAACTCTATCTCTACGTAGTCTGCCATTTCTCTCATTTTAATTTTGGGCCATGTGAAAATATTTCTGGTGGAGCACTTTGGATCAGTGATAGTGATGAAAAAATAGGATAGAAAAAGGAAATAATGACATTTTTAAGGAAAATAACTAAAATTGTCTTTGTGGAGGGATTCAATTATATAATATCACAACTGTGTAAGAGTATTAATGGAAATAATCCTAGGTTACAGCTGTCTAATCAATAGGTTATTGATGAATAACTAAAAATCCAGTGTGAAGTATGTGGCTTTTTCTCCTGCTTCCTACTCAGAGTTAGGCATCAGTGATGCCTACTTGCCTTCTCCTTTGCGTGTCTCCAAGGCAACCAAACTCATTCTCCTACAAACCTATTTCTTTTCTAGTTTCTTTATCTCAGTGAACAATTCCATCAGCCATCCAGTTGGGCAAGCCAGAAATCCAGAAGTTACTTGACCTCACCTAGTCTTCCACCATCATATCCAATCCATCACGAGGTCCTTCAATCTTACCTCCTAAATCTATATCACATAGTTCAATTTCTCTTTGCCTCCACCACCACACTATTTCATCATCTCCCTCCTAAGCAACTATTACCCCAAAGGGTATCCACACCATCCTTTGTCAAATGCATTCTCAACACTGCACTACTTCATTCAACAAATATTTGGGTGGGTGGGGGGTGCCCTACTTTGTACTCTGGTAATACTGTGTCGAGTTTAGACAAATTCCCCATTCTCAAGGAGACTGTGGAGACAAGATAAACATCAGATAGTCACAGGCACCACAAGGAGAATTAAAATAGGTGACATAATGGTGAATGACTGACTAGCTATTGTAAATTGTGTGTTCAAATACAAAAAATCAGTTGGAGTTTCAGCAAGGAGTGTGAGCTTCAAAGCAGGAAAAGGAAAGTCTGCTGGGATGATAGTATCTGCTATCAAGGCTTCCTCCTATATAAGGAGAGTGTTTCAAATATTGGCCAAGAACAAAAAGGAAAATAAGAAAAATTGCACCTGAAGATTCATCCAGGTCTGTTTGTCTCCAAGAATTACTTAGTGCTTAAATACAGCACTTATTACCTATTTGAGAGTGTTCTATTTTTTTGGTAACTTTCCTGCATGTCTCCTTTCCTAAGAAGTGTAAGCTCAGGAGCATAGGATCGTAACTGTCTTGCTCACTGCTGTATCCTCAGTGCCTGAGAACTGTACCTGGCACAAGGAGGCACTCAAATAAGCGTTAGTTGCATTAATGCACAAATTAGTGTGTGAAGTGGGAGTAAACAGAGAAAATGACTGGATTTGGGGTCAGGAAATCTTCGCGAAGATGTCAAGTTCGCTTATTTCAGCTCGGAAGGTTAACTAACTGGAGTTTAAAATCCTGCCCAAGTTTCTCAGCTTTGAATCTCGGGCACCACCTACTCGCTCACTCAAACTCCACACACACGTTCCCAGCTACAAACCTCTTCAACTCCCCGCTAGGAGGAGTCACACATCCCGACCCAGAAACTCTCCCCACCTCTCCTCAATTTCTCCTTCCCTCCCCTCCCGGCCAGGGTTCCGGCCGACTTGGAGACGCAGAGCCTACTGGGAATAGTAGTCTTCCGGTCCGAGGCTGTCGCGTTTTATACATTTCCAGAACTATACTTCCCAGAGAGCCCAGCGGCAGAGGGTGGGTGTATCACCTGACCAGGACTCTGGAGAGGCAATGGCGGCGCCCACGTTGCGCTCATGCTGTTCTGTAAGGCGTTGGGCTTTAACCTTTATTGACGGCGGTTCTCGCCGCGGAAGACGGGCTCCGACTGGGTCCACGTCCAGCGGGAAAAGGGGACGGAGTTCTGTGGCTCAGCAGCCCCTCATTACGACCCAGAAGGAGAGGAAAGGGTATACTATTTCATACCATTACTGCCCACTTCAGTGCGAAGTGGAACTGCGGGGATGGGGGGATGATGGCCGCTACAGCCCAGCTTTCAGTCTAGACCATTTGATGGACGGGTGTTGAGTTATAATTTGCAGCCGTGAAACAAATGAAAGCACAAAACTGGCCCTCTCTCAGCCCTGCGCTCCCAAATAAACCACTGTCTTCAAATAGATCAACGTATTTGGGGAATTTGCGAGTGTAAAATCACAGGTGTTTTCTTAAAAACTGCATAGACCGAAGGTTGACTTTCAGTCACCCAACTAACAGCGCCAGCAGTGAGGTCGGTGACACTAGAAGCGGGATCTTATTTAGCTGACATTTAATTTTAGCGCTACTGTGGGCCAGGAGTATTCTAAAGGTGGAAAGGGAACCTTTACTTACAAGCTCTGGATAGGGTTGGCTTAATGCAGTCGTCAGAAGACACCACCTGTCTTGGAGGCGTTTCATGTTGAACATGTGTATCTAGACCGAGAAGGACGCAGCCAATCCAAGAGATATTTCCTCTGGTTATGTAGAATTTTGCTTATTTGGTAGATAACGTCCTAACAGCTGTGTATACTTCACTTAAGACAAATAGTTTCTTTTTAAATGCAGAAGCATACGGCGTGTGTCTTAATACAAAGCTTATCCTTTGACTGTACGTTGGTATTATTTTTGCTTTTCTGTTGGAGGAACAAAGGGAAAATGTCCAGAAGCATTCAGTTTCTATTCTTTTCATAAATTAGGTCGTTTCCTTGTGAATGGAATGGTTTTTTCCTCTCATGTAATGAAATTGCAAAACTACTTTGTGTTGGAGTGAATGCAGAATTCCTGATGCGTTCTTTTAATTACTCTGAATTACAGGCTGTGCTTCCAAACTTGAAAAAAAGTAGGAATTAATCTTATCACAGTACTATATAAAACTTCATATGTTTAAATGACTGGAACAAAACCCAGCTTGCATAAACAAAAATCTAGATAATGTAGAAAATTGGAAGAAGAGCAGGATAGGAACAAACAAAATAAGAGGAGAATATGTGTAAACAGGCCATCTGCAGATTGTCCAGGATACGTGGGTTTCTAAGGAATAAGCACACTTGAAGAATTTGGAGAGACCTGTGTGTAGAATATTCATAAAGATGCAACGGAGTAGGAGTGGCCAGATAAGAGAGATTATGGTAGCATTTTACAGCTTCTTACATTTGAGAGCAGTCAAGCATAAACAGGCAAAGGAACCTGAAACTAGATCTCAGAAATTGAAAGTGATTTGGGGGACCAAAAATAAAAAGCCACATCTGATGATTTAATGTTTTCCTTTGCACAAAATTTCCAGAAATAGTATCATTTAGCGGTGATCTATCTGTGTTACTCTGGTCGTTTCACTTGCAAGCCATTGTTATAAAATGAATTCAAAACATGACAATTTCCTTTCCTTTTTTAATATTGAGATGTGAAATTACTTATTTATTATTATTTCTCCATTAGTAGAATTCTGATGTTTATGTGAATTCTAAAATCAAGATCAGATTTCATTTACTAAGTGATTAATTGATAAAGGACAGTTAATTTAGAAAACGCTGTTTTTCACTTAAGGCAGTCAAGCAGTTGCCACCTGGTACCCATTTCTAAATTGCTTTAAAATGCCAGATTCTTCCCTTTCTTTCCCCTCCTTGTTTGTACAGTGAACTCCCCTTATGTCATGTAGTAAGTGAATTTTATTTCACCAGTCTCCTGTGGGTGTTCATTATGATTGATTTTTATTTAGTCACCAATACAATATGACCATTTTTAATGTAAATTTTAATCTGTTAACACAAATAGGAAATTAACGTTTGTGGTTGAGGTTTGTGGAAATTTGTGCATTGTGACAGATCTAACTACTCCTTAAACCATTATATTTTTCCTCTTTAGTGAACACAAATGGCTATCTGTGGTAGGTTTGGAAATTCATGCCCAGATTTCTTCCAACTCTAAACTCTTCTCTGGATCTCAAGTCCGCTTTGCAGCACCTCCAAATTCCTTGGTATCTTTTTTTGATGCATCTCTGCCTGGAACTTTGCCGGTAAGGTTTTTATTTAATCCTTTTGTTAGAAAATAATGATTTCTTTGTTTTACTATCTTGGCACAACTCTTAGAAATATTTGTTTAGGGAATTTTAGGTGAAGTGGGATGGACTAGCTGTTTTCTGAAGACCCATCTCTGTAATTCTATTTCTGAGTCTGAATGTCATCCATTTATTCATACATTCACACACGTTTTGGAATGCCTACCAGACTCTGTTCTGTGAACTGTAACATAAAGATGAGCAACAGTCCTGGCCTTTGAGAGCTGAAAAACCAGATGGGAAGATGTGTCATAAACAAATAGAGCACTGTGTGATTATTCCTGTGAAGGTAATATGCAGAGCTTGGTTTTGGAACCCATAGGTGGAACACCTAATTCTATAAGAGAAGGACTATTGTGAGAAATTGGGATAGAGGTATGGCTGGTTAAGGAAGGGGTGTTGGAAAAGGTGGTGTCTGAGCTATCTAAGAAGCTGTATAGGATTTAGGCAGATAAATGAAGAAGGAGAAAGAGTCTAGTCAAAGCAGCATATATCACATAATACTAGAGTACGTAGTCAACAATGATTGTGGTTACTGAAAATTAAGCCGTCAGTAATGGAGAAAAATGCCAACCACAATATACATTGAGATAAATATTCATTTATCTACTAATATTCATTTAAACCCCAGGAGTGACTGTCTAGTTAGTGTACTTACCAGCAAGATTTTCAGCATATATTTTCATGTAGCTGGGTGGATTTTGAAGAAAAGGATGGGAGGAACAGTGTGAATATTTGGGCTAATAAAAGCTCATGACTGTCTAGGACATACCGTGTCAGCTGGGTGGGAGGTTTCCTGCCATCCTTAGAGGGCATGTGTATGTATGGTAGTGACACGGTGGTAGGGGAGGGATTATCATGGGTGAATTCCATGCTCTGTGCATTTCAATACAAGTGAAAGCTGTTTGAACTGAGCACTGGCAGGCTTTCAGGGGCAGGGATTTTCTTTTCTCAGCATCACTGCCTAGAGGGGAAGATTATGGGCAGTGCCTCCAATGCACCTGCTATGCCCAGGGCTTTGGTTGTATTGAGTCAGTGTCTCTTACTTGTGCTTTGTGTTGTAGAGGACTCCCATCACCGCAAACCATGCCTAGGGTCACTTGATTTGCTCTTGGGTCTCTCTGGAGGGAGACAAGTATAGGGGTGTCTGTCCTTCCCTTTCTTCCTCCCTCCTTCACCTGGCTCAGAGTGTTTAACTGTGCAGATCATTTTTGCTTGAGAAGAGATAATTTTTCAGCTATCAATATATGAGTTCTTTTTTGGGCAGAGACTCAGATACAGTAGGAATAAAGTAATATCTATCCAGACAAGGGAAATGGAAAGCAATTCATCACAGCACTACTCCTTTTTTCCTTCTGCACTCAAAACACTTTTTTCCCCATGTGGTCGTTCATTATCAAGATACTAGACGTATCTTCTGAGTTCTTTCTAGGTTTTTCAGCTGGAAATGTAGTATCCACCAAAGTATTTCTTAAGAGTTCATATTTAGAAACAGACCTATTTGCAGATAGGCATGTTTTTCTATAAATAGGCTCTTCAGCTGTGACTAAATATGGCCAAATATCAGAGATAATTCAGAACAACTAAAACGTCAACCTGCTTTGAAAGACTTCTTATGCACCAAGGAAGAAGGACTTGCCCTTTGGTACCTAACAAGGTATATCAATAAAGTAGTGAAATGTTTGGGACATTTGAGCACTGAGAGTTTGGCTTACATTAATGAAATGACAGTCATAGGATAGAAATGGAGTTTTACTTGAACTGGGATTTGTTTTTCCTCTTCAGAGCTTGCCACACTCATGGTTTTAGTGGCCTAATGGGTGGTTCTCTTGACAGAGCTAATCTGCCTCTTTTTCAGAAGTGTTTCTATCTTTAAAAGTCTTATTTTATAGTATGTGAGCAAACCAAAACTATGGAATAAAACATTGTCATTCCCATAGCATTTTCAAAATCCTGTGATTTTCCTATATATAGATTTTAAGTTACTGAAACATTTAGACCATTATCCTTCTTCTAAGCTCCATAGAGATGATATATTAGTGCTCTGAAATTCTGACTCTGCATTTGGTTGTTTTTGTAGAAAAAATGGTGACCATTTGTCAGATATACTGATACAAAGATAGAAAAAGGCAGCCAAGAGAATACAGGTTATAGTGTAAAGTCTTTGTGAACCAAATTTCTTTGCTGTGCTGGCCTGCCAGAGAGAAAATATAATAATGTGTGTCTTTCTCTAGGCATTGGATTCTCTTTCTCTCTCAATTTTGTCTTCATTCAGTCAACTTCATTGGCTTCATACGAACTCTAGTGACAGCTTTGAACAAGGTGAAAGATAGATATAGGTCTTGTTCTCCTGGAGCGTGGACAAGAAAGCAGGCAGTTATGGTACCTTTTAATTAACATGTTGGTAGTTGAAATCCAGGGTGCCCTAGGAGCACTAGGAGGGGCATTCATCACAAATATGTAGAGTACTTCCAAAACTGACCAAATAAAAGTGAATAGAATGCACAAAGACCAGGGGAAAACAGAACATGGCTTGCTCTAGGAACTGAAAGAAGTTCCATGTGTCATGGCATAGAACTTGAGTGTAGCATGGCAAGAGGTGAGGCTGGTTGGGGAGTGTAATCTATACTCTATAAGCCCTGCTGAGGAGTTTATATACCTCTTGCAAAGGGGTGGGAAGATCTAAGGAGAGTACAGAGTCAGAAGCTCCAGGGAAGGGAGGGTTTTAAGGAGGAGGGTGTACAGGGGTGTTGAATGCTATTGGGAAGTCAAGTAAGGTGAGGACTCGGAAGTGGCCATTGAATTTATTGGTGGGGGTATCCTTTGCAAGAACAGGTTCAGTGGAGTGATGGGGGTAGAAGGTAGGTGGCAGTAGATTGAGAAATGTGAGTGTTGCAAAGGGGTGAGAGTGTGGGCAGCTGTGTCAAGAAGTTTGATTGAAGGGAGAGAAAATGCAGGAGGCGAAAGGAGGCATAGGCTCAAGGGAAAATATTTTATTAGCCCTGATTTCCTTGATATTAGAAAGATGTAAGAATGTTTGGATGCCGATGAGTTATACTCATTAATGTATCACACTTAGAAATGTGTTAAGAGGGTAGATCTCATGTTAGGTATTCTTACCACAAAGAATAATTTTTTATTTTTTAAATATTGATGAGAAGGAGCCAGTGAAGAAGGGGCAGTGAAGGCAGTCAAAGATGTTTTTAATTAATACAGCCAATTGAACAGACAAGTTTTATTTGGTTTCCCACCCCAAAGAAACCCTACTGACATGATAGTAAAAGAATTTTAAAGTTACAAAAGTTTAAAAAAATTTACAACCTACAAGAGAATAGGAGAGGAGACCAGAGTATGTGACACATGGGAGGTGGAGGAGGGCCTGACAGCACAGCGGAATTATCTGTGACCCAAGAAAGGGACAGAAAGCCTGAGAAAGAATAGAAAGGTGGTGTGCCCTGTGCAGCCTTAGAAAGGTCAGGCTGTGGGATCATCAGATAGTGTGGAAGGCCAGGGGGAGGTGAAAGCCAAAGAATTGATTCGGAATCTGAATGCAGAGCAGTAGACCTAACATCTTCTCCTGGTCCTCTGCAACTGCCCCACCTCCATGAGAATCTATAGTTCTGGGAGAAATTCAGCTAGTGACAGGCTTCCCTGGGAACCCTAGGCAGAGCAGAAGGCACTGGTGTCAGAGAGTGTTCACACTCTGGGCCATCCCAGTCATCCTCTGCCCTGTTGGAGGAGCTCCAGTGACCTGGTACAGCCATCTCTCCTCTTCCCTTTTTTTCCTGAAGTAGGAATCTGCAGGAAACTGTGTTTGGAGATTTTATGTCCCTAGAGGGAAGAACTTCAGATATTAACAATTGAGGTGGATGGGCCCGGGTCTCAATAAAAAACGTGCCTAGCCATCTGATTGTTCTAGAATGAAAGCCACCAGTCAACAAGCCCTGGATATTTATATAGAACTTTTAATCATCATTTAAGTACCTTACTTTAAAATATAAATTGACCGAAAATTCCCAGACATTTGAGGAAATTCTCCAACATTATGGACAAAGACAAAATAAAAAGCTAAAAGAAATAAGAGTCAATAGATAATGCACAGAGTAAAGGAATAGTTTAAAAATTAAAAGTGTTTATAAATATCCTCAGAAAGGTAAAGGAACATAGCTGCATCTTTGAACCAAGAACATGATGCTTTTTGAAATTAAACAGTCAGAACAAAAAGCTCTTAGAAACTAAAATTATGATGTTAAAAAAAAATCCAGAAGAGTTCGAAGATAAAATCAAGAAAATCTTTGAGAAAGTATAACACACATACAATGAATTGGATGGTAGGGGAAAAAAATGAGGAAATCAGAGAATCAATCTAGGATGTGCAACATCTTATTAATAGGAGTTCTGAGAGAAGAGAAAATAAAGACAAGAAGAAGCCATTAAATACCACAGATTAATTTCCCAGAACTGAAGGACACAGTCTCCAAATGGGAAGGGACTGCCAGTGACTCAGTGCAAGGAATAAAAATAGTCTCACACGCAGCCACAGCATCGTAATGTTTAGGAACACCAGGGATAGAGATAAGATACTAGAATTTACAAAGGAGAAAAGAAAGGTCACAGGCAAAGGACTGGAAATTAGAAAGGCATCAGACTTCTTAAAAACACTTAAAACTAGAAGAGAATAAAACAGTGCCTTTAAAAAACCTTAGGGAAAAAAGGTTCTAACCTAGAATTCTGTACCCAGCATTATAAATCAAGTGTGACAGTAGAATAATATTTTCAAACCAACAAGTTCTCAAAAAATTGTTCTCCGTTATCATGGGAACCTACTGGGAGTAATGGAGAGGTTCCAGGCTGCCAGCTCTGACACAGGCCCAGAGACCCAGTGGGAGAGGAGGATGGATGATTCTAGAACAGAGAAGTTTCAAGAATAAAAAGGAGGTGGGGCAGGAATAGCAGAT